TTCCTGAAGTCTGCAAATTTCACGCCCCGAAGCCCTAAACCCTCAAGTCAGACATGTTCACGCCCGAGAGCCCTAAAAGGACTCAGAGACTCTTACACCCTAAACCCTAAACCCCAAACCCTAAACCCTAAACCCCATAGATCATCTTCATTCCCAGCCTTGCCTCTACGGTCCAAGGCATGCTCCTTGAGACCACCGAGGAGATCGAGGACCTCCGGGCTTTGGGAGCCTTCGGGTTTTTTTAGGGTTTTATAGGGCTTTTTCCGGAACGGGGCGAACCTGTCAGGGCGTCAACTTCCAGTGTATACACCCCCTAGGACTTGCTACCTCAGGGATCCTCACGTAGAAGCTGTGCCTGGGTGGCTTTCTGTCGGTGAAGGTTTGGCCACTGGATCTGACCCGTTGGTAGGGATACTACCACCTGGATTACAACTTCACACCATACGCCTGTTTATATTGCACCAAGTTTTTCCTACTCTAGCCCTGAGCTATACCTGTCTTGCGGGCAAACTTCTCCTGAACATTGTCTTGTTCGACCTCTACTTGCAGGAACAGATGTCGAAACTCCCAACCGCCCAGAACGACTAAATCTCACGAGGTGATCTAAAACAAAGCGGGCAGCAACCTCAAAGCTGGAAAGGCTTTAACTCTAGAGTCCTAGAACACGAAAAGCTGAAGCCCAAACGCCAAACCCTAAACCAGGCACGGCTCCGCCATGCCGAGTAGAGCCGTTGGCAGCTGCTGTAAAGCGGGAGCTGGCAGGTCTCCTAAAGCACGTGCGTACGGACCATTAACACGCCAGGAACAAAACCCCCAATAACATGCTTCCTATCGGCGTTCTTTTGCAGTCACCAGCTGCTTCTAAAAGAACTGGCCAAGACCCCTTCCCCGAATGCTGGCTGGTGGTTGAAGCAGGTCGAAACCAATTGAAAGTTGCGTGCATGATGTGCAGAAGTCGAAAATAAACTTGCTTGAGCTCATCTTGCATCTTGGCATCGTCTGCTGTGAAGTCTGGCTCTGACAGGAACATCCTGCTAGCATTTGCTGGTCTAGCAAATCTGGCACCCATGCCGCAGCAGTATGGCACACTCCTGCTTGCAGGAGTGTGCTTGTGAGATTGCAACAGCTTCATGCAGTGTTTTTGAAATGTTTTGCGCCTTTCAGTTTGTGTCCTTGTGTATTCCGGTGGCTTGAAAAATTTGCCATGGGCCGACCTGCGTCTGGTGAATCCACACTGCAACGCGAACTTCAGAATGCTTCAATCGCAGATTTGGCGTATGTGTGGCAGGACGGCTGTCAAAATTTCAAGGGTGGATTTCTTGGCACATAGCTTGTGTATAATAGTTGCAGGCCAGGTCAGTTCATTGGCACGAGGAGTGGACAGCGTTTTGGATTAAAGAATTTAGAACATCTTGCAATGAATGCTTGTCACAACATTTCGCTTCCTATTTGGAGAATCATTCTGGCACCGCAAACTTTCAGAGACTCACCTTGAAGTTGTTCAGCATTCCGGGTTCCACGTCAAGCGCCGAGGACTTGCCATTACCCGATCAGCAGCGTGTCCGTGAAGCTTTGGCACGTTTGGATCATTCGGAGCAGGCAACTGGGAAAACATGTGGTCAGCTGTGTGCGCATTTGCGTTGAAGTAGAAAATTCATTCAATAGGTGAATTCTCATCGCCGAACCTGATCCATTTCGTGTTTTGACATGGCGCATGCCTTGAAAGGCATGCCCCTAATGTTTCATACTAAACATTTCTGCTCACCTCCTGCCCTTCCCTCCCCCCTCCTTCCCCGCCCCCCTCTTCCCCCCCTTCCCAACCTTCCCCCTTCCCTTCCGCCCCCCCGTGTCCCATTGTGGATTCTTATTCGTGATCCTCAAAGGACTTCCCTGCAGCTAGACAAGTCTTGGCCGCGTTGGAGTGTTCCGGCCGGCGAGATCTGTAGACGGCAGAACACATGACCGCTTCACCGTAAAAACAAAATCAAGCAAGGAAGCTGTCACTATCAACATCTATCCGCAGATCAGCGATGTCGTACTTTGCAGCCGGGCGGTTCGTGCACTGTCCTGTCAGGGATCCACACTGTTCAGTCGTGCTTTTGCTGAGAAAACGCAGAAGTTGTTTCTTATCATCTAAACTGTCTAAACTGATATTTTTAATTTATGCTGACATGGCGAGAAGTGGCTTGGTCAAAATCGCTGCAGTGGTGCCCACCGGAGTCTTCACATGATGTTTTTTTCGGCCAGGCAACGCGGCTTTGCGTGGATCAAAGCACTGCGAGAGTTGCAACTGACGCGCTCACGAACGCGGGTTGGAAGCAACTGAAAGCAGCTCGTCATCAGGATGCCATTGCAGACTTCACGCGAGCCCTGAAGCTGGACCCGAAGTGTGCAGTTGCCTACAATAGACGAGGCATTGTTCGCGAAATTCTTGGGGAAGATCCGCATGACGATTACCAGATGGCAGACGACTTGAGAACAGAGCCCGAGGTGCTCAACGCGATGGAGGAGGAGAGGAAATGGAAGCCCGTTGGCTGGAAAGCACGGCTGGAAGCTGAAGGCGAAACGACTGCCACGAATGCTGACTTCCTCATCTCGTTCGCCACTCCTGATAGCGCAGCCAATAACAAAATCCTGCACTCTCTTAAAACGAAGGTGAACTTTGGTGGAGAGTGCCGCCACTTGTCTTGGACGTGCAGTGTATGGCAGTTTTAGTTGGTGTTTCTTGCATCTTATGACTTGTAGTAGCAGCCTGCCTGGACTCTTTCCCACCAGACACTGACAAGTGGGTTGTGAAGTTTGAAGCACAAAGTGGCACACATCATGCGTTCAACACGCTCCGGAAAACAGGCAGACAGGGTGGCAGCACAGCACTCAGGACAAAAACGTTATGAACTTCAATTGGGCACGATTCTCAGGAAACATTGTCTGGATAAGCCCAGCACGATTGTCAGGAAAGCCAGCCGCAAATGTCAGGAAACACAGGCGCGATTGTCATGAAACCCGGTGGTCCTGTACAGAGAGCAGCTGCCACATTCAAAGCAGAGGCGACAGCAAACAAAGTCGGAAATCCGTAAATCAGGGGTCCAACAAAAACGACTGCAACATTCAGAAAACAGGGATGCGGAAATTAGCTAGCAGGACCGCAAGCGTCACAAACAGCAGCGCGACAAATTGAAATCACGCTCGCAAACTGCGTGTTGTGTCCCTCCTAGCGCTTAATGTGGATTTCCGATTTTTTAAAGCCCCCCTACAATTAACAAAAATTCCTGGCCCGCCATACAATCTCCGAAGCCGCCCACAAATAGCGAATCCACGTCTTTTCAATCACTTTTAAGGGATAGATGTTGAACAGTACTTGCTGTAGAACTTGATCCTGAGACGCTCAAAAGATAAAGGGATGTAAAGTAGAGGTTGCCTACTGTAATCTCTGTTTTGCCTGAGCTTCTGAGAATTAGAATGGGAATTGATATAAAGGTTCTCTGCTTTCTTGGGACCTTGAAGTAGTGGTTGGTTTGTTGCAGACTCTCTGTCGAATCCCAGTTTGCAGGTTAAAAACTATAAATTTCTTTTGAGACCCGCTTTCGAAAGAAGAACAGGAAATCAAACGATCCTACGGGGCAGGTCGTATACGAGCACCCTTGACCCACAACAAAAAGCCACAATTATAATATCCCAGGGGCCAGGAATGTTTGGTTTTATGACTCTTTAAGCAACTCCTTACTAAAATTGTTGGAAGGTAAATTGAGAAAGAAGATTTCCTTTACTCATTACTTACAATGTGGGAAAGTAAATTCAGAAAGATGGTTTCTTCTCCTCTTTACAAGAACTGTTTGAAACTATGTTCTGAAAGAAGATGCCTTTGAGTCTTGATTAAAGTCGAAGGTAAGTTCACAAAGAAGATTTCTTTTATCACAATGCGTAGTAGTCGTAGTCGTAGTAGTCATAGTAGTAGTCATAGTCGTAGTGTCGTAGTGGTTGTGGTCGTCGGAGTAGTCGTGGTAGTCGTAGTAGTCGTTGTCGTCGCCATAGTAGTAGTAGTAGGGCTTCCCTCGCAGGTGCGACGGCAACACAGCAACTTTTTGGCAGCTTTTTTTGCCGAAACGCGCTTTCTACTCGAGTTTTTGAAGCCAACTCTTCAATATTTGCTTACTGGCGAGAGGAAAGCATGGTTTTGAAGAATTCTTTTTTGTTTTTCCAATTTGTCACACAAAAAATGCTGTAAATAACAGCATTCGCGTTGGAGATTTTTCATTTTTTCGTCATTTGCAACGGTGTCGTGTTGATGGTGAAAAACCAGGATCTGATTTGACGATTTCTTCTTCGTGGCTTTTGACGATTCTGTTTCATGTTTTTTTGAGGGCGGGGGTAATTACATTCGACACACGCGCATCCGGCAAGTACCAGCAGTCACGTAGCGAGGCAAAAGTGCAGCAAATACCAGCTTTTCGGCGGCTACGTTGTTGCGAACAGCCAGAGCATCCATGCCCGCACGCGTGCGTGCGAATGGCCAGGGCATCCATGCCCGCGCGATGATTGCGTCCATGATCGTCGTGATCGTCGTCGTCGTCGTCGTCGTGGTCGTGGTGGTGGTGGTGGTGGTGGTGGTGGTGTTGGTGGTGTTGGTGGTGGTGGTTAATCCACGCCTCCCCAAGCTGTAACGTGCGGAAAAGAACTACATTTGGGAAGATACCATGATAGCCCTTCCCCAACGGTTGCATGTGGACATGCATTACACGTGGTAAGATACGATAGGGAATCAAAAAAGAAGTCGCATGTGGAAAGGCATTACATGTGAGAAAAATACGATATTGAATCAATGGATGTTAAATCCACCCCTCTCCAAGCGGTAACGACTCTAAACCATAAACCCTAAACCGTGTCCCGGCTACCTCACGTGCGAGGGGGCAAACGAGCCCCGAAGTTGCCGTAGGTTTCCCGGACCCCTTGTTCCTTGTTCCTGAGGCCCTGTGACATTTTGCACAGATCGCTCACTTGGTATGGGTGTTCACTTCATCGACGGAGAGAAGACTGGTCGAACCGATGCAAAGTGGAACTTCCTTGACAAAGTTGGAGAGCGGAAGGTTGTTGGCGAGTTTCCAGGGTGGTTTAAAGAGTACACGAAGGCGGCAAAGGAGACCAAGCACGGCATCCTCATCCTCAACTTGACACAAGCGTACTTCATGCTGCGCGGCTACATTTGCAGCTTACCATGCCATGTCATACGCTTAGCATCAACTTGCATGTGATTTCTCGTGCCCTTGCTCAGGTCAAAGGCATGCCGGTGGGAGTTCGGCTACATTCGTCAGCCTGAGCTTATGCACGTTTTCGTTCCCGGCGAAGCCGGAGCATCCAGCATGATTGTCCCATGGGACAATGTTATGAAAGATGCTACACTCTGTGCAAGGGCATTCCAAGGAAGTGGGACTGTCACAGAGTTGGAGCATTTAGCCAACAGCACCAGGAAGGACCCAGAAGTTATGGTCATTGATGCTATCGCCAAAGTGGATGCTGCTGCCAGACTGGTGGAATCTCAAGAGCACCAGGCATGGTGTGAGCTTCCTCTGAGGCAAATGGCTTTGTCCCTTGCCGTGGCAGAGCTGGGCGAGTACAGTCGGCAAGCCATGACCGCAGCTGATCACCTCATGTGGGTGCACCACGAAACTGGCATGCACAGAGCTGGTTACGATCTGGGGGCGAAGCTGCTAGATTTGAGGAGACAGGTGTTTGGGGAGGAGCATCCGGAAGTAGCGAAGACACTTGCAAATCTTGCCGTTGCATCTGGTGACCTTGGTGATCATCGCAAAAAGAAGGAGTTGTTAGAGCAGGCGCTGCCTATCTTCAAGCGACAGCTTGGGGAGGAGCATGCCGAAGTGGCGACGCATTTAGCTAATCTGGGTGCTGCCCTCGGCAGCCTGGGGGACCACTGCCAGCAGAAGGAATTGCTGGAACGTGCGCTGCAGATACAGGAGCGATTGTTTGGAAAAACGAGCTTAGAAGTCACAACCACGCTGGGTAACCTTGCAATAGCATATGGAGATTTAGGCGAGTTCCGAAAGAAGCGGGAGCTCCTGGAACAGGTCTTGGAAGTGCTACAGCACGAATACAAGCCGGAGCACCCCCTTGTGGCAAAGACGCTGGCCAATTTGGCGAACACACATGGGGACCTTGGTGAGCATTGGCGGCAAAAGGAGTTGCAAGAGCGCGTCTTGAAAATCGAGATCCTCGAGTTTGGAGCTGCCCACCCAAAAGTTGCCAGGACGCTTGGAAATTTGAGCGCTGCACATGGAAATTTGGGTGAGTACCACGAGCAGAAAAGGCTGTTGACACAACAGCTTAAGATTGAAGAAGCTTTTTACGGTTCACAGCACCCCACCGTAGCGTTGACTCTTGGCAATCTTGGAGTTGTCGCTGGGAACCTCGGTGATTATCATGAGAAGACAGAATTGTTGGAGCGTGCGCTGAAGATCGAGGAGCGAGAATTTGGCAAAGAGAGCTCGCGAGTGGCAAAAACTCTGGTGAATTTAGCCAACGCGTATGGATGCCTGCATGATTTTGGTCAACAGGCAGCCCCGCTGGAACGTGCACTGCTTATTCTTGAGAACGAGTTCGGGCCTTCAAGCCCGATTGTTGCCAAAACGCTTGGCAATCTTGCCAACGCATGTTCTGCATTGGGAGATCACCAACGACAGAGAGACTTGTTGGAACGCGCCCTGAGCATTTTCAAGCAAGAATATGGAGAGGGCCACCCGGACGTGGCGAGGACTTTTGCAAACCTTGGATTGGCGCACGGATGCCTAGGTGATCACCACAAGCAGAAAGACTTGCTAGAACGTGCCCTCAGGGGGTTTGAGCATGCGTTTGGGAAGGAACATCCCGAGGTAGCAAGAACACTTCACAAGCTGGCCAGCGCAAGCGGCATTCTGGGGGATCACCGCCAAGAGAAGGAGTTCCTTCAAGAAGCGCTCGCGATTGAAGAGTTTCAGGGTGGGTCGGAGAGTATTCAGGTGGGTCAGACATTAGCTAAAATTGCCAATGCCTGTGCAGCTCTGGCTGCAAGGGGAACTTCGTCCGAGCTGCGTGAGTTGAGAGATGTCTTACAGCGCGTCCTCAAGATTTTTGAGCCTGTTCTCGGGGATGATCACCCCATGGTGCAGAACACTCGTGACAATCTTGTCAACGCCTGCTCGAAGCTGGGTGACGTTGACTGCAAGAAGGAAGTATTAGCAGCAATTTTAAAGACAACCGAGTGCAGGCTTGGTGAAGATCACCCGGAAGTGGCTCTGGCGCTTTCGAAGCTTGCCATGGCCTGCGGAGCTACAGGAGAATCTGCGAAGCAGACTGAGCTTCTAGAGCGTGCGTTGAGGATCATGTACGAGTTTGATGCAAGCCACCCACTGGCCATCCAGATTCAGGCTGCTCTCTCGCAAAGCTCACGATAGAGCTCCGAGAAGTCAGAGTGCAATGCGTGGCTGCGTTAGCTTATCACCTCAGATGCCTTGCAAGAAAGAAATTAATGAACAGATGCTTCCTTTCACCCAGCAACCTCAGTTAAAAGCTGGCCAACTCAACCTTGGTGGCTGTTGCGTTGCATACTGTATTCATGGCACCTTCGATGTTTTTGGGTGTTTGCACCTGGCTCGAAACCCCACTTGTCGGTTCATGGGCAGTTCTAGGAATACTCCAAAATTGGGGGTAAGGTCAGGGATCACTCCAACCGCAAACTCAAGCAGAGCTCGAGCCTGCAAAGGAAATCAGCCAACCTCGTGGCTGGGACACAGCGCAGCCGACGCTTTCAGCCGGCCCTGTTCTCGCCGGAAAGCTGTTGGTGGCTTGGCGGAGCTCGGTTCGTGCGTGCACATACATACTGATACATACACACATTGCTCGTGGGCTATGGTCCCTAAGTCGTAGTATAGCTTTTGTATACGTAGTATGTACGGGGGTCTGAAATCTGAACAATTAGGAAGAGTACGTGGGTGCAGTCCCTGTTTTATAGTTCTATGACGATATACTCCGAATCAGTACTGTAACTAGGGCCCTAGACTTCCCCGTGGTAGGATTGATGCCGCGGCCCTCTGAATCTGGAAATGGCAGTAAAAAAAGGCTGCAGGCCCTGAGTAGCCGTAGAACTGTGATTCCAAACCAATTGTTTTATGGGCATCTATATGCGCAGCTTCTATGTTTGCAGGGTCTCTGTCGTCTTGTCGGCGTCTCTTCTAGAGCAACATGTCTTGGACGGCGACTCGAACCTCCTAGGAGAATGATGGCTGCGAAGCCCTGAAACACCTGGAAAACCTGGAGCTGTGAATTAAGGAGAAATCCTGCAAGTTCCGGGTTTAGGAACGCAGCTTGTGATCGCGAGGAGGGCCTTGATTCGTCTGAATGTGTCATATCCATGCAATAATCATGCAGGAGTACTCGACCGATTCGAAGTCTGGACGGAAGCGAGTCACTGAAAGATCCCAAACTGGGCCCAAATAGTACCAGCAATATACGGGTGTGAGGAACCCAAATGGAAAAGGCAGGCATCACAAGAAGAAACCCACACAAGCCACAAGATACAACCAGAGGGACATGAGCCAAGCAAATCCACACTCACACGAAGATTTCTAAAAGGCCCGTCAACTTTGACCTTGAGCACTGCAGTTGGGAGAAACTCGGTATTTAATTAAGGTTTACCTAAACCCTTAAACCACTTAAACCCAGAACCCTAAACCCTAAACCCTAGATAGAATCCTAAACCCTTAAACCGTAAACCTCTTCAACCCTAAAATCGTTTCAGGTGCAGCTGACTCCACAGCGAGCCTTTTTCATGCCGGCCGCACCGGGCAAAGGCAGACTTCCAGAAAGAGATGAGAGGGTTGTTGAGGTTTTGAGGATTTAGGAACTCAAACGATGTCCAGCTTTGCCATGATACTCGTCCGTGCTGTTCAGATTGTTTTTCGAATTTAGGTTCGTGTCCATGCGCATAAGAGGAATCTGTGCCAGCTGCTCTGCGTTAAGGCCTTGTCTCTGTCCCGGTACAGGTTTAAGGATCAGGGGCTTGAGTTGGTTCGAGGCGGGAAGCTTTTCCCTGCTGTGCTAGACCCAAGTCGTCACATCATCATATCAGAAGGGCTGCCGAGGTGTGACTTTCGATGGCTCCCACTGTGGTAGCAAGCGCCCAGAGGCCACTAGCAGCCCCAGTATCTTCTCATAGTATCGCGAGGCTATGGTCAACGATGATTTAATGATTAAACCTCATGTTACATGACTACAGCAGTATCAGCATCATGGTCCTCCGCTGCTCGTCGTCAAGCATCGGCCTCAACTACATGGACCCTCCTCCTCACAGCCAGACCACTGAGTAGCAGGCCAGCCTTCTGATCTTTACTTATCGGTGACACCCGCATCACCGTCAACTCCCGCATTATTCGCATCATGGCTGTCACAGCTGTAACCGCGTTCATCATCATCATCGTCATCGTCATCGTCATCATCATCATCATCATCACATTGCTCCTGTTCTTCTTTGCCGTCATGGCCCGTTATTCTCCGCACCGGGCAAGCACAAATAGTGGTTCCTCCTTCTAGTGTTGGCCTCGGAGCACGGAACTCACAGGCCACAGCGCAACCTCGTTTGACTTGAACTACTCAGTCAGCATTACGGAGTTTAGGTTCCGTTTCAGGCCTATGGCTTGGGTAGTGGTTTTCTTATCAGAAGCCCTTGATTCTGAATTGCAGAGCTAACTGTCCAGGCACCATTCCACCTGCTGCCGTCTACCCGTCCGGTTGTCGAGCGTTGGGGCCCCCAGAAAGCCGGCTCTGCTGGAAAAGCCGATTGATTGTGCGCCTTAACACATGCGTTTACTTTTTTTTTCAGTGGACTTCACCCGGGTTCACGGTTCTCAATGGCAGCTGAACCCAAACCCTAACCCGTAAAGCCTACATACACCTCAAATCGTGAAGCCCTGAAGTCAGCGACCTTCGCTCTTTCCAACCGCGCAAGGCCGTCAGGATTTGAGCTTCAGGGGTCATCTAAGGCCTTGGAAGAGACGCCCTCAAATTGCAAGGTTCTGACAAGTTAGGAATGTCATATGATATTCCCTTATCGTCCCGCTGTCGTTATCATAGCTGTTAGACCATGACGATACCATCATGAACCCTCTCAGGGTTCAAGCAAGCATCCGCGACCCCTTCATTGTGCTGCGTTGTCAGGCCGATGCTGTTGCTGCTTGTAATCTGCTTGTTGCTTGGGATTGGGAGTTGTGGGTTGACTTTAGGGGTCCTGTGAGGGTTGTATGGGGGTCTTGTAAACGTTCTGCAGGGATCCTATATGTCCTATGAGAGTTTCGGGCGTGACCTAGCAAGTAAGGGTCAGAAGTCGGTTAAGTACAGTCCTATCGGCTTAGAACACCAAAAGGGTACTCATAACCTCAGTTGCCACATCCGATGATCCTTTTTTGAGCCGAATCCCTAAACGCCCTTATCAAGCCAGACTTCCGATCATGGGGTGGAGGCGCCAGAAACAGGGCCAGTTGATGCTTGTATATAGCAGGGGTTAAGATTCAACAGTGCCTGCACTCGGCCTAAACACGACAGCCGAAGGCCCATCGGCTTATTGTAGGCCATTTGCAAGTTTGTATCTCGATACTTAGTGACCGATGACCCAGGAATTTGAACTCCACTTCTGCGTTTGGGTCCCGGTTCTCATTTGGGTTTTAGTGGTTGTGTCGGGTTCGGGATTTCACGGTTTTATCTTGCTATTGGACTAAGAAGACCCTCGAAGGCGTGAGGCATGAGAGTAGCCTGAGCATCGTCCCTCAAAAGGTGAGAGCGAGCACTCCGTACCGGAGTGTAACGTAAAGCCTGACAGCCAGAGCTCACGGTCTGTGACCTCGATTCCTGCGCCTCTAAACACCCCAAACCCCAAAGTCTTGAAGTCGCCTCTTCGATACTTTACTCGAAGCTTCAACCTCAAACCATCAGAAAGTCTTGCTCTCATCCCTGTCCATGTTGTTGCCTTTGGTTTCTAGTATTATTAGCACAATTCTGGTTGTCCAGGAGGATGAATGCCGGCATTCTCTAGAATGTGATCTGACGTCCTGTAACCTTTCAACTCTGACCCAAGCCTTGACTTGCCTGAGTTTAGGAATGCCCTGCATCCTACGCCCGACATTGCCAGAATTGTAAATCCTAAGCCGCAAAAACCTGAGCCCCTGAACCCTAGACGCCAAGAATAACTTCTAGAAAGCCTCAAAACCTAAAGCCAAAGCCCTAACCGTCCTAACCCTTTTGAAATCCTCACAAAGACCCGGAGGATGGGTCTCTGAAGTTGCTTTCGGTGGCAGAGGGCGGGAATCCAAGAGCCATGGGCTTTGGGGTTTGGGAGTCAGGGATAGGACTCAGGGTTTGGGACTTGGGTTTAGGATTCAGGGTTTAGGACTTAGGGTTTAGGACTTAAGGTTTAGGGTACAGGGTTTAGGGTCTGGAGTTTAGGGTTTAGGGTTCAGGGTCAAGGGCAAGGAGGGCTTTGGGGCTTTCAGATTTTTCTGGCTTTAGGGCTTGAGGGCTTCAAGGTTTCTTTTTTTGGCTTGAAGGCTTTGGGGTTTTGAGGCTGAAGGGCATTACCCGAAAGCTCTGAGTCTCCAAACCAAGCAGCGCCAGAGTTCGCCGCTCGACTAATTCATGAATATCCAATCGGAGGCGCTGTATGCTTATGAGACCCCGCAGCCCCAAGACCTAAGACTTGAATCCTAAAGCCCGGGTCAAACGCGCAGAAAAAGTCTGAAGTTGCGGCAAAAAGACTGTCTGGAGAGGTCCCGCCTTGCGCGACCACACCTCCAAGCTCCCCAAGGCCTTTCGGGCTGTCTATGAACTGGGAAGGGCCGGGGTTCGGTAGGGGTCAGGGTCTTGGGTTTAGGGTTTTGGGCTTGTGGTTTCGGGTTTAGGGTTTGGGCCGCCGAAGGAAAGTACACGGGTGCCGAGATGTTTGATCATTCCTGAAGCCTCCGCAACCTCCGCCCACTTTTTTTGTATCCAAAGTGCATAGGAAAGCCATGCTTCAAGGACTTCTCTGTGAGGATCTCATTAAAGGGGGGCTCTAAGATCCGGGCCGGGCCGGGCCATAAAATTGCGGGAGGGACTAAGATCCTAGAGCCCAACCCCAACATGTCCGACGGAAACACCAAATCCGCAATACCTCAGCCTCAAGCCAAAGCCGCTGGACAACTTCAAACTCTAGACACCCCGTGAACGCTTGAAGCTCATTCATAAACCCCTGCTCGAACCCTAGAACTCGTAGAGAACCGGCATCAGGCCCTCAAAGAACTCCTTGAAGATTCGAAATCTGTAAAAGCCCTTTTTTCGGCTACAGGGCTTCCCTCGGGTTTTTGGGTTTAGTAGGCTGTAGCGTCAAGGGTTTAGGATGTTTAGGGTCTAGTATGTTTAGGGTTAAGCC